CATCAAAAGAACACTATCTTATTTATTCACCAGAGAGATTTCAAGAGATGAATAATGCAAGTAAATACAAACACATTAAACTAAAGAATTATGAAAATGTAAGTCAGATTCAAATGTGTTGAGTTTTCAAAATGATGAACAGAATATTAATCAGTTAATGATCCAAAATTACACTGTGATGTAATTGTTCAAAAAAGTAAATCATCCTTATGCATTAGATATTAGTTGACATATTTTAATAAGATCTATAAAGTTTGTAAGATTTAACATAAATATATCTTTCTTGAAGTGATTAGGCGAGTAAAGTCCCTCTTCTATAGGACTCAACGAGTATGTGCTACGTATATGTTTGAAGAAAAGACAAAACTGCTAACTGACATACTGACATCAAACGGTTGTTTGCTAAAGTTCATAAATCGATGCAAAAGTCGGTTAACATTAAAACTACTTTTTAATTCTGCTGCGAAGAAAAATAATTTGTATCTTTTTATCATATAAAGCAAAATCGAACAATATTGTTATGAAAATTTACTACTCTGCCAAACGGATTTTGACTGAAAGGATGAAACAGATTATTTCATAAAGGCCCAGATATTGCACACCTGATTAAGCCGCATTCCAGTACATTCGCCAGTTTACATGGTTGTATGAACACACATATATAAGGAGGAGTAATCTAACAACGTAAACAAGGGTTATCGAACATGTGCCTAGATGGCTTCAAAACAAGTTAGTGTCAAACGCTCTGATAAACGGGTGAATTAGAAAACCATGCCCACTGATAGAGAAACAATTGAGACGGGCATCTGACTGACACCAATAAAGCATTTAAAACAATCCACAATCCACTTCTTAATATAAATCAAAGTCCATGTAGCTTAGGTCTATTTACAATTGATTAGCTAAAAATTGATATTTACTTTAAGCCTTGTTTCCATAAATTTACTTCGGCATGAAACATCAGCTTTTTGGAAAAAAGTCAAAAACACAGAACTTGAGATCGATTTTTATTTTGTTATACGAAGTGAATTTCTTTTGATTTTTGCCAAATATTTGAAGTAAATCCTTAGTGATCAGAATCACAAACGTTTAGGTTAAACTAGTGACCGCAGCTTTCCGGATTTGTAATGAATATAAAATTATTAATCAATCATAAAAAGTGACAATCTAGCGGTTAACGGGTTTAGCTTTTAACTGGTAGGTCACAGGTTCAGATAGTGATTTGGTTAATTCAATACACACGTAGAAGACAGTATCACCGACTATAGCACATTGTGATATAAGTTGGCAGGAGGTAGTCGGTAAGAAACCACGGATATAGATTTCGTGCTAGCTGGCACTCGTCAACAAGGCCTTCCTTCGGTCACAATGGGACTGATACTCCCTAGGGTGCTCGAACTCGTGTCACCCAGCTCTACAGTCTGAGGCGTTATCACTGAGCTATACAGGTAGTAACTGATGACCTCTCATATATTTACAGTTGTTGATCACTGAGTTGTGAATAATCAGCGTGCAACATGCCTAAACCCGTACTTGATAAATCAGTAGCATTATTTTTTATCATTATCATTTGACAATATATTGTTTACTCGTTTTTAACGACATATGCATAAATAATGCTATTTTGTATATATTGTGAAATATCATAACATAATTACCAAATTTCACAAAATATGAATTCATCACAATCTTTCAAACTTTTTATCCTTTCCCTCATTAAAGTTTGTATAATTGCTATAATTCCCTGATCTTATCCATTATCATTGATTCTTGGATTGAAAATTACATATAAGAGGAAAATTAACTCATATTTAATTGGTGTCTAAACATGATAGAATTGACCTGGATAACTTTTCTGAACGTTGTTATTCCTTTACTTTTCAAAATTTCGGATCGATAGACTAATTGCATATAGCAGGAAATAGTATTAATTTACATCATAGACTGATTGTGTTTAAGCAACCACTGAAAACTAGGAAGCACTGGATCGCTGTTTCATCCTACCATTAGACTATTCAGCAGTGCACATTCACAAATCTTGAAATTGAACCTAGGACATTCATGTCTCCTGTGAGCCTTTAACCTTCAGACCACTGAGATATTACCCAATGGTCTACAAATTTCATATTAATACAAATTATCTGCCCAGCGCTTTCTGGTTTTTGATAGTTGTTTGGCTAAAATCAGTTGATATAACCTATGAAACGCAACAATCTACACAAACCCCTTATGGTAGTAAGGAAGAAAGTAGTTAAAACGGCACAACTAACAACAATAATAATAATATATCGTTTGTTTAGTCAAATTCATGTTCACTGAAATATTGATCTGAATATATAAAGGCAAAAAAACCCCAGCTAAATCTGTTGAATAATATTTAAATTCCAAAGTACTTTCAAACTTTCGCTTCGCAAAATAATTGTACATTCAGCATAAGCTAAGCAGCATTAATATTGTTCAAAGGGTGGGTGAGAAATGCACTCGTTTAAATATAAAAGTTTACAAGTCAGACTAGAAAACTAATCTTTCATCCAATTTTCTCTAAAAATTTTCTCCACTATAAAACTGTATGGGTTGCCAACCATGAATTCTACCTTATAGATATGTGAAAGATATTAGGATGAAAGTAGTAATAATAATAACCCCTTATTTAATACCGTCAACTAAAATTATTTGACGCAAAATCTTAGTTCCAATTAAAAAGAAAGTGTTATTGAAAATGTGAGCACAGTGGATAAAGTCAGTAGCTTTAAAGTTGAGATTTATTTCATAACCACGACAATTACTACGCTGATATGATATTACTTACCATTGAGGTATTTGTTATACAATTTTAATTGACTTCCTGGACTAACCCAACGGTCTTACAGTACTAGTACACTGTGAATGGTTACATCATCATGAACAGCTAGATTCGCGTTTGTGCCATTAGCTGAACATATGTGACTACAGTCACATACTGTCATCAGACAACTTGTATTCCCATCAAATATACCATTTCATTTCGAAGACAAGTTATAAAGAGATTGGTTTGAACACGACAAACTCTTCTTTATCCCATAGTTCTAGTGCTTTAGGGGACAAGCATTACTGTGAATAAAGTCATATGTGCACAGTCCCTTTGGAGTCATACAAATTTAATTTCAGGAAAATAATGTCTACTAGCATGAGCTGGAATGTAGTAATGGATTGTATGACTCCAAAAATAAAGATATCCCTCCTTATCATCTGCTATCATATTTATATTTGTCTCTTTATTTATTCAATAACCAATCTCGATGATGGTCGTTGATATAACTGGTCTTATTTTATATTGAAGCTAACAGTGTCTGTGGTATATTTTAAAATAGCATACCAATTATAGATTGGAATTCTCGATATTCAGATGTTTCATTGAGAAATAAACTTTAGTGGTCAAAGCTGAAAAGCTATAAACTATGTCGTGTAACTGAGACATATATAAGCAAATGCAGTATAAATAATCACTCAACTTCACTATACAAACGTAGTGAATTTGTACAATTTATTTTACAGCTGTACCATTTAAGCCCTATTTAAAACGATTGATCCAACAAAACTTATTCGAACAGGTTATAAGCAAGTTGAGGAAGCCAACTACATTGCTAGCTAGGAAGAATTCCTTTTAATAACGACCAGTGGTAAGTTGCGGGAACCTATGCAGGAAGAGTGTATAGTCAAAAACTATAGAAGTTCGCTACAGACTTGTATGAAGCTATTAGAAAATCACCCGAAGCATATGGATGCAGCTATGTAAAAGAAAGTTCGAGAAGCGAATGAACTAATTACTAGTTCCTCTTCCTTTTTTTACGACAGGGTGGGTCAGTAGATATTCTGGACTTGTCAGAGGATTACTACTTCCACCAACCAAGGTATTCATTAACACAGAAATTACATTCATCACAAACTGATTTAAACTGTTGACCTTAGTAGTATCTATAGAAAAAAAAGGATAGTTATACTGATCAGGTTTTTACTGTTAACCTATTCCTTATATATTCATTCGCTAACCATTAGAGCACACAAACGTAGGCTTTAGTTGCACAGACCTCCTATATCTCGACCGTATTAGTTAATGAAAGTATACAAGTAGACTAGTTCATCTCATTGAAATATCACACACAATCTAATATCAACACCAGTTGCTCGCTGATTACAATATAGGCAAGCACTGCTTCAATAGGATATTTGATAGAATAGTTATAAGCGTTTCGAACTCTGGAGAGCGGTGGAATGAATCACCAACACCCTGTATATACTTATACTTTTATACTAGGGCTAATATTTCTGTACCTACTAATAACTCACAACTGAGATCACTCACTAGATAAACATTTTAGGGAATAAATTAGTGACTAGGTTGAATGAGATTTAGAGGAGCGAAGATCCGTGATTTTAAATTAAGAGTGTGAGAATGTGTCAATACAACAATGAACGTTTTTGCATAGAAACAATAAACCGTATATACTTTTAAGATATTTTCAATGAAGGATCATCATCATTTGTGTACCATAATATGATAAACTTATTGTATTCACTACTTATCACTCATCAAAGCATCATCTTAATTGACCAATATCTAATTCAGAAAATTTTTCTCATAATAACAATATTAAATAAGTAGTAATTAAATGTTTCATAATTTAACTAGATCACGAGATGATTTGCATTCGATTCTCCAATAACGCAATGACAAGTGCATACATACAGTGCATTTTCTGATGCATATATGATCTAAATCTAATAAGAATGATACGAATCTATGGCTTAATGATCATTTAAAAATTTACGTACAAGGTTAGATAGAAATCGTGGTGAATGTGCGGAAGATAAAAATAATTATGAACTTGTGGCTGTAAATTCGACAAGCGACTGGATAAAATGTGACTATATACTCAACAGCTGGTTGACTGGTTTCCTACCGTAGATAAAAAGGCATGTCTGGTATTCTTTACAGAAGACATTCTTAAAAACACAAACTTCGAGAATGGATGATCTTATATATACAAGAATGAATATAAAACAAAGATCATCAAATATAGTTTATGTACATCACAGTAAAGGCAATATTTTGTTCCGATTATCTTTTAATGGACGCCAAAATACTGGGCATGTATACCGACCATCTGTGATTCTTGGTAAAAATCCAGGAACAAGCCAACCAGTTTGATCTTTCAAAAGTTGTGTATCATATTGAACGTTTAGTTTTTCATTTAAAACACTCAACATAGTGAAATTATCCAAGTATGTTTCAGTGAGATGTAATTTTGTACATAATTCTTTATTCTCACGAACATATTTTACAGCAAGTGAATACTAAAACATTTATGTATACAAGATTAAAGAAAATGAATTTTTCGGATATTTCGAATTAACACAAATTAAAATAATCATGCATAGCTAAATGAACTATTAATTTCAATTGTTTGATATTTATCCGAGATAAACTTGTGAGAGCAGATAGCTTCACACTATTATACTATCACTACAATTAGAATACACGTATTTTAAGATGACTTAATTCTCTTTCCAGTTCACTATTTTTGGTCATTTAAAATTTATGTTTCAAATTTAATGTATTATGAAAAAGTGAGTAAAACCAATTTCTAATGTGTTAAAGTTTCTTTCTAATAACATTTGAAATAATAAAGATTTTGAAGGTAAACAATACTTTGATTTATACCAGTACTTTTCAACGTAATAATGATAACATCGAAATATATCGATATGAATATTAACATGTATGTGTTGTGTTCCTGCAAGAAAACATTGAAATAAAGTTAACTTTTCATTACACTTTTATGATTAGGACTAACTAGGAATATCTTTGTAGGTTCCAGAATAGTATTTATGTTGACGCTTAAGCGCTAATACATGGTTTGAATGGATTGGGTGGTATGAGTCTAAAACAGGCTAATTGATGAATACGTATTGATTTTTCACTTTCCCTTTAGACCTTGGATTTTAGTATTGACCTACAATTAGAATCCATCAATTTTATGTTTGGCTTCTCACAGCGTGATATGTACGATTATTTCGAATCCTTTGATTTATAACCTGTTAATTTCCACACCCCACCCTGATATGAAATATAACAGCTTCAACCGATGAGCATTTACTACAGTTTAGGTCTTTTTGTGATTAACTTCCTTGTCTAGCTATAGAAGGGATGTTATTGAGTAAATGTAAGGGTAAATGTTTGAGCAATGAGACAAACCAAGCAAAACAATTTTAAACGAACTTTAAAAATTCCCCATAAAATATTCAAAAATGAAGAATATTTGAGCGAACCATTGTTTTCAATAACTTCATCATCAGACTCTACAGTTATAAGTCCATAATTATGATATTTTACAAAGGCCAAAAATAAGGCATGTATTAATGAATTTGACAATGTTATGTGTTAAAAATAATGAACGTTTGCATCTGATACGACATATATATATACTTCAAAATTGTATTATTTGCAAATCAGAAAAGTCATTCAATAAAGGTCAGAATGATTTGGAGTAAAGTGTCCAGCCACAATAAGTAGAATAGTATTATGGCAAAAATGAAAATTATCAGAATGGGTTTTGTGGAGAGTTTTAGAAATTTCACAGGTTGAAATCATGAGTCGATTGAAGCTAGATCACCATGGAAAACCTGGAATCACTTGATGGCCGTTTCGTCCTAGTATGCGACTCCTCACCAGTGCGCATCCACGATCCCGCGGGATTCGAACTCAGGACCTACTGGCTTCGCGCGCGAGCACTTAACCACTAAACCACTGAGCCGGCATCCGGGGTTCGAATCCCGCGTGGTGCGGGACCGTGGATGCGCACTGCTGAGGAATCCCATACTAGGACGAAACGGCCGTCCAGTGCTTTCAGGTTTTCCATGGTGGTCTAGCTTCAATCGACTCATGATTTCAACCTGTGAAAAATGAAAATGCCAAAAAAGTGTGAATAAAATGCATAGTAGGAGAATTTCATCTTGTCAATTGAAATAATAATAATAAGATTGTTGTGTGAATATAATATGTAATAAGGGGGATGTTATCAAGGTAATTACGATAAACAAATTGGGAATGATGTATGTGAAGATTAAGATACAGATCATCAAAAATAATGGTGATGAGGAAAAAAACTAAACAAATACAAATAAAGGAAGGGGGTAAGAGGTTTATAATATTCAGTCTACGTATTCGGTGATCCAGTCGTAGGCCAAGGTAAACAAAGAGGCTGGATATACTTTTTCTGGATACATAAGTTTGGTTTTCAGGAGTTCATCCAGATGGCTTCGGCTATGTAGAGCAATCGTAATCTAGCTCCTTGAGGTAGATATTTTGGAACCTGATATAAAACAGAGAAAGCTTCCTCTATTTTGATATGATGTTTACTATCTACCAAGTGAGAAAGAATAGTGCTGTCGATCGATTCAGTAACTCCTTTTCCCAACCATGCTGGTACATATTCACGAACACGCAAGGATAAACCCCTCTGAGTACGGCCTACGTAACTAGCTCCACAGGAGCAGTTGAATTGGTATACACACATGGAGGAGCCCATCTTCGGTAACCTATCCTTGATTAGTTGTATGAGTGCTGGTTTAGTTGAGAAAATTATGTGTAGCTTGGCGGCTTGAAACGTCCTTTAGATAGATCTTTTGAGTCAATGTGTTAAAATATCACCCGCTATGTCCCCCTTAAAGTCTAGTCTCAGATATAGGGTTTATTTACTGTCACAATTTCTTTTTTTAGTACTTTCTACGAGGTAATTTTTTAACGAAATTATCTGGATAGCCATTATTTCGTAATGTGTTCTTTAGTATATCTATTTTGCCATCCACACTGCCTTCAGAACATAATAACTTGATTCTGTGGTTGAGACATTTAACCAAATTTATTTTATACTGAAGAGGTGTGAAGCTTTGGAAATGGGTATACTGACCCGTCCATGTACTCTTTCTAAATATATTTCGCTTTATGGAACCGTTTATCCCTTCTAGAAAGTAGGACATCCAGAAAAGCTATACTATTGTCTTTCTCTTTCTCGCTGGTGAATTTAATGGCTGGGTGGACATTATTGAAAGAGTTCAACATCTCCTGTTTGTTGATATTTTCGTCACATACGATTAGTGTGTCATCTATGTATCGGCAGTAATAATCAAGCTTACTTAGGATGTCTTTAAACGGTCCATTTTCTAGTTTAGCCAGAAAAATATTAGCAAGGATCGGGCCTAGAGGTGATCCCATTGCTACCCCATCTACTTGTCTGAAAAATTCATTGTTAAACTTAAAGTTGATATTTATAGTGCATTCCAACAGAAGTTCTTTCATTTTACTTACTGAGATCGGTATCTCTATTTAGAAATATTGCACCAAGAACTGGTTAAGCATAGTGTTAAAGACGTCTTTAAATCTGTGGATACAATTAAAAATATGAATATAAATGGCAGAACCATGGTATCACTAAACATAACATCTTTGTTCACTAACATCCCTCTGACTGAAACTATCGATTACATATGTGGTGGTCTAGCTTCAATCGACTCATGATTTCAACCTGTGAAATTTCTAAAACTCTCCACAAAACCCATTCTGATAATTTTCATTTTTGCCATAATACTATTCTACTTATTGTGGCTGGACACTTTACTCCAAATCATTCTGACCTTTATTGAATGACTTTTCTGATTTGCAAATAATACAATTTTGAAGTATATATATATGTCGTATCAGATGCAAACGTTCATTATTTTTAACACATAACATTGTCAAATTCATTAATACATGCCTTATTTTTGGCCTTTGTAAAATATCATAATTATGGACTTATAACTGTAGAGTCTGATGATGAAGTTATTGAAAACAATGGTTCGCTCAAATATTCTTCATTTTTGAATTTTAAATGCCTTTAATAATAATAATAATAATAACAATAATAAAATAAAATTATCTTACTTTGACATGATAGAGTTGAAGAAGACAAGCTGTCCAAGTACTATCTACAATTTGTATTTGTTTAAGATTACCAATGGAAATATTACAACTAGGATATTGATTTCGTATAATATTTACTGTTTCTTCAGTTAATGGGGGAGCATAACAAATACGTGGAGATTGATTCAATGAAAATTGAACTAAATAATTTATGAAAGTGGGAAATATTGATCCATGCAGAGATTTAATTCTTTCATCTGACAGATTATTATGTAATTTGTTCCTTTTTTAAAAAAAAAAATTAAAATTAAAATACTTTAGTTCAATGTTCCGTAAAGATAAATTAATCTGTAACATTGGAATACTTAATTAAAGAAATATTTCATTATAGAGATTTTTTTTGAAAAATTCCAGATAATTTACTGATAATACACATGAACAGTAGATCATTGTCTTCATTAAATTGTGTCTCTCTGTTTATCATTGACAATGAAAACTTTAGGAAAGAACTACTGAAACGATCTGAATGTTTAAATAATTTAGAAAGATGAAAATATTTTATTGCATTAATTCATAGTCAATCAGTCATAATCCGTGGAAAGAACGAAACAAAACTGTGTTAGCTCAAGTTTCTACACTGTATCAGTACAAGGAGATGAAATTAACGAGACGAATAAAAAAGGAATCTAAATGATTGTAGTGGAACTGATAATGCAAAAGACTAGATGTAGCGAATATGGTTTGAGAAGTAGAAATTCAAAAGTATAACATATGACGCTATATATTGGAACTCAAGATATAGAATGTAAATAATGAATGCAACGATGTCATTCGGACTGATTCTTATTCACTTCACCCAATGTCTACCTTCTAATTTCGATAATTGTGCCAGCCCAAATCAGGTAGTCTGGATTTACTAACACGACTCAGATCATTAGTCAATAATTTTATAAGTTAATGTTATCTTGACTTGGTTGCGTCTGAATTTCTTCCAATCTACTCTTATATTATCGTTAGGAGTAGGGAAAAGAACCTATATTCACTTTAATATCAGCCGAGATAATACATCTACGCAACACATTATTCATGTATAGGTTCAGATTAATGCTACCGTGAATAAACCAAATGAGGTGATGTTATATCCCGATAAGAATAATGAATGGTAATTCTTGGGATCCATTTATGGACCAATACTATGAGTATATTTTTATCGTATAATTGTCATGTAACTAAACTGTTCATATTCATGTCCCTCTTATTATGAGTTTTATTTTGACCAATAAACTATTATTATACGATTTACCATTCTTGAGTTATGGCCTGTCTATTAATTACCATCTCCCTTATTCACAGCCACATTTGGCTAAATATTGTACAAATGTTATTTTCTATTTTATGGTACGTTGTGGTCGGTTTGATTGGTATATAAACCCCGTATGTTTGAAATAAACGATTCATATTGCAGAGGCTGAGACTGGTGTTCTGGACTTAACTGGCTGGGCTAGACAGGAAGCGAGACCAATCAGGACTCTAGGCTGCTCGCACGTGTTTTATGCGTCACTGGTTCGATCGATAATTCACTGCTCTCTAATCGGCGGTCACAAGTTATAACAGGTGACTAAAAACAAACATTAATGATCAAGCTGAAAAATTATACTCTTACTCTCATTAGGAAGCGATAGCTCAATTAGCTCTGATAACACGGGTATATTAAATTCTTTATTCAATATAATTTACGAAGTCAAATCATAAACTTTTAAACGAGTGAAAATGAAAATTATCAACCATAACTATTGTGTAAGGGTTAAACTAAACTGTTCAGATAAATAAACTCAATGAATAGACCGAAATTACAAATTGTTAATCGATAGTATAAAGTTGATTTCTGTGTTAACTGAAAGATAAAGATAACCTACTCATCATCTATAGTATTTTTACAATTCATCTATTTAAGGTGGTTCTGCTTGTGATATAAACTTTCTCAAATAATATAGAGCTAATGTTTGTTACCTACAGAGCTAATTCGTTGCTTCAATGCTTGTCATCGCTGTATAATTTGAGATCTTTTTCTATCATTCTGTTAATTGTTTTTTTTGTCATCTTCAATTACGGATTTTATTCACACATATATCACCATAAAAAGAAAAGGAGTTAGAAAAGTCACAAGTGAATTGGTGAGCCTTAAATAGTAGAATCTGACCCAGGACACTATAGAACCATGTTAATTTTCTACACTTCTCAAACTAATCCAGTTGTATATCATCGAAAAAATTTGACAACACGATGTCAAAAGTCTGGATACTAAGTACTTTGGGATAAATGTAATTCAACAACTTAAATCCAGCAGACCAAGCGTAAGTACAGACGTTGTAGAAATTGTAAATTATACAGTGTCGTGAATCGTGTGTATTGATGTATCAATCAATCGTTAGATGAATTAAGTGAGCTTATACAGTTCAGAAATTTAACAGAATATAACAGTGGAATAGACACATAAGCAGTCACACATATGCAAGTGTAGAAGATAAAAGTTCACAATTAATGATACGAACAAGTACGGTAGATCATATGATTGTGCTAGAAGTCACTGACAGTATATCCTATGAGGATCTTAAAATGTAGACTGTTTTGTTTCTGTTGGGGTGATCCAGAAAATTTAGTGGCTGTAAAACACTAGTTCATTGTAACCAAACCTCTGTGTGTTGAGGATATCTGAACATAGAAGAAACTGGTGGCAGATGATAACCAGTGATATTTTTATATTTTTTCCAGCTAAATGTAGCTTGTGGCGAAGATTAACTATTAATTACATAAAATCTAGACTAATAACTGATAAGCTTAAAAAATTGATAAAACCGTTTTCTCAAATGGTATCTCACATTTTACAATATCATCATTACATCATTATGTGGTTTCCTGGAAAATTTCAAGATGACGTGATTTTTACCTACAAACTGACATAATACAAAGTTGTCTTCGTACTGTAATCATGGATAGCTTCGTACTACCATTTTAAAAGAAAATTTTCTTGACTGGAACGTCTTGTTTCGTTTTATCAGCATTCAGTGATAACTATATTTGTATTTGTTAGGATATTCGGAAAAATATACCAATAATTATCATGTTAAGTCTAATGGTGTCCATTGGTCACGATTGGAGACTCTTGGTAATATGGCTCAGAATCGATCACAATGGCATCGGTGTACACACTCTCTGTCTTCCCTTAAACTAAGAGAGAAGGCATCCATTCCTCTAAGATTGTAGGTACATCTTGTTAGAGAGTGCCAACTGGCACAGACCTAGGTACGAAAATTCTCAATAAATACCTCAAAACACCAAACATTAGAACACATCAGTGAAATATATTGAACGAATAAACAACAAACAATGAAAAATAAAAGTAAAATAGCCAAAACAGATGATTATTTACCATAACCACATTTCATTGTATTCCACTCCATGAGAATTGAATTCAACATCCATACCAACCGACACATCATCATCATCATTTAAATTTTTCTCTGATTCAGGTTTTTGTTCATTAAGACGAAGTAATTCTCTTGTTAAGACAGTAGTTAATAGACCAGCACAACGACCAGTTAAATAATGTTCTCTTTTACTAAGGGATTTATCACCATTAACAGAATTATTAATAGCGAATAGATGGAAAAGTTGCCCCAAGAAAATTATCACTGGTGAAACAAACAATCGCGTTGATATACTAATATTATATATTCAAATAAACAGAGAAGGCGAAAAATAAAACTTAGATTGCATTCATGACAAGAGACAACAAATAGTACTAAATAGGAAAATATATGACCCTCAAGCAAATATGAATTTGAATCTATGTGTATGGACACGCACATAATTATTTATGATTTGTTTATTTGAACACGTAAATATTGGTACAAATGGGCACCAGATACACATGCGCCACACAATTCTCATTTCATTTATGTGAGGGCTGTGACACTGCCCGGGTGCCCAAACCGAAGCAGGTGGTTTTCTTAATGGGCCACACCAGGAGCCTTCGACCTAAAGGTCTGATCCACAAGGTAGTTGAGCAACGTAAGGAGATGCAGTCCCATGGCAGCCAGTGACCAATAATTGGTCATGTCATTTGTTCCTTTAGGGTACTGGATTCCATGTGCACCATTGGTTTGGAATCAGGGTTTTCCAACTCGCCTAGGTGTAATCTCCGTGTTCACCAACCGTATGGACACACACATATACATTAAAAACGAGGTGATGCGAGAATTAAAAATTTATAAATGGATTGTTGTTTTGAGAAAAAATAGGGTTGAGGATCATTTAATACACTAATTAAAATTATGCAATGCATAGACTAAAACCAGAATGTTTTTGGCTTAATTATCTAAAAATTCAATGACAGGTTAAGGTTATGTGCATTCAAACTATTTAAATGGAAATATACTCGATCTGTCTAGCCATATGTCTCAACATACAACAACACTCATTCGCGAAGCTTTTGCTTCGTCAGGTAGAACAATCAGTCACTCATATAATAACTGTATCTCAAAGACTAGTACACTATCTTATACGTAATTGTTGAACTGTATTAATTCAATAACACAGTAAATATAAATATGACTCGATAAATTTACAATAAGAATTAATAAAAATTTAGTCAGGAATGTGCTAACAATGGTGTTAGGGTATAATCACTGCCTATTTTTCCTTAGTTTGAAAACTTGCATATTTTAAGTAATGGAATTCAACAGCTTTTTTACGATACATATTCCTACGTGTTGGCTTTATGGTCTGTATGTCTGTAAAACGTCATAAACTAATTTCCAGTGTTTTACCAACTTATAACTAGATTAAATGTAATTTTAGCTATGAAGTAGGGATAATAATTTCAGAAAATTTAAAAAAAAACGGGCACTGAACAGTTATTTGGGTTTAGTTGAAGAATCATCAATAGCAGTGTGTACTTACAACCTCATACGAGATCGGATCCAGAAACTTTTACGTTTCATAGCTGGTATGAGAATTTTGACAGTTGGGTATGAACCCGATCATCTACAGTTCCAGCTTCAGTCAGATTCCGAAACAGTATGACAATCATCCCATCCGATCAGTGACAAATATCTCACTCTCAATATGAGAGCTTAGAATTTAGTCACATGTCACCACATAATAGGTGGTTTGTGGAGTTTCCCTAATATGAATAGCTTTATACACGAACTGACATATGGTGAAAAACATACGGTCACAACGTCTTGTGTGGGATCATAAGTGTGTACTTTTGGCTTCTAAATTATGATGTGTGCTCCCTCGATTTTAGTGATTTTCAGTATGGCTTGACTTTGTGATATATATTACCTTTAGATCAAATAAATCCTAAGTAATTACACAGAGGTGTTTGCAAGAAACTGTTAGCCAGATGAAGCGAACAAAAGACCAAAACACAATGTTGACAGAAAATGTGTGCCTTCATATACTGTTGCTCAGTGCCATTAAAACACTGCATTTCGTCAGCGTCTTCACCAAACAGAACTGTGCCATTTGCGTATTCTAAGTCGATAAGTGGACCTCATGGTAGGAGATCAAACCCAGAAAACTCAGTCGATGAAAACTTTATTTCCAGCAGTAGGTCTGTGATGGACTTAAACAGAAAAGATAAAGTACAGCCTTGTCGGACATCACTTGAAGTTGCAAATTCAGATGACAACTTTCCATAAGTTCTGACTCAACAACTAGAAATGCTCAAGTGAAAAACGTTCACAAGGTTTATGTAATTCTGAGGTACCCTTTTCAATGACAGACACTGACACAGAACCTCTCGGTCTACAGAGTCAAATGCTACTCTGAAGTCAAGTAAAATCGTCATTGTCGGATACCGATAAGTATGCCTGTGTTCTAGAACCTGCCGAATAGTGGCTATGTGGTCAATGCAGCCACGACCAGGTCTGAAATCAGCTTGATTTTCTCGTATTTGTATTTCTCGAGTCTTTGTTAGGCGTCCAGTATTTATTGAGGCTAGTATTTTAGACGCTATATTAGTCCAACTAATCCCTCTATGGTTATCACAGGACGATTTCCACCTCTTCTTATATATTAGAACAATCAGTGATTGCGACCAGTCAGATGGGATTACGTTCAACTCCCAGATTTTAGCTAAAATACTAGTCAACTTAATCGCTAAAATTGGACCACCATACTTAAAGACCTCTGGAGCCAATCCATCCGGACCAGCTGCTCTTAATCGTTTCGGATTAGCTATAGCTTGTTGAACTTCAACTGGAGTCGGGGGACTTAGTTCAATGTTCCATTAAGGTTGTCTGGGAATGGTGGGTAGTTGTAGAGTAGCTGAAGGCCAGCTGAACTGCTCCTTGAAGTGTTCCGACCATCGTGCTAAACGTCTGGACTGCGAGCAGATAAGATTGTCGTCTTTTACCGACATCGTCTCGCTTACACTTGACTTCTTAACTCTGGTTTCTTTTATTGATCTAGAAAACTGTCTTATGTTACCTACAGCCGCTGCCTTTTCTATTTCCTTTGCTTCCGTTGCCCAATACTGCTCACGATCGTTACATAGCCTATGGTTTAATCTAGATCTGATTTGTTGACGCTCTTCAACATGTTCAGAGCCAGATGAGATGAGTTTACGAGAATCCATCAGTGAAATAGTAGAAATCCATTGGTTTTTCCGAACCCTTTGGTTTAAATCACTAACAGTTGTCACTGCTGTTTGTGTATCTTTCACGGGAACATCTAAGTCAGCCTCGTTTTCAGAACTGCCTAAGTGTGACCTCAGTTGTTTCAGGAATCTACAAATGGTTTTCTCGTCACTTAGTTCAATCCTGATGGGTCTTCTTAGTGAGGCGCAAACAAATGCATGCTCGTATTAGAGCATGATCGGAGTCCAAACAGGTATTCCAGAATGAGCGACAGACTTCGGTCGAGCCTCTCCAACGATGACTGATGACAATATGGTCTAGAGTCCATCGCGGTTTGGTTCAGGCAGTTGCCATGTTCAGAAAACTTTCTGTAAAAGTCATCTTTCAATTCATCCAGGTTGCAGGCGGTGTGAGTGTAGGCAGAAACGACGAAAAGGCAACAACATGTGTCTCTATCCTTACGAGTTCTTACGGAGCCGTTTAGCCGAACAGCACATAGGCAACTGTTAACAGGGATCCATCATAATAGTGCTTGTTCTGCCCTCGTACTTAGTGCTGTCTACACCTGCCAGTCTACAAGAACTAGCCATCGGGTCGCCAGATACACAGAGAGTGTATCTCGTCGGCATCCCCCATCTTGGCGAGGTGAGGTCAAGTGGATGACCACACTAGGATCCTGTATGTGTATTTCGGAGACACAGCATACATCAATGGTACGAGATTATAGGGTTTTAGCGAAGGTCTGCTGGCTGATTTGACACAAGGTGCGTACGCCGAAGGCTCCAATTTGTAGTTTGGAGCGAGATTTCAGTAGACCTGGGACAGTGTTTCGCACAATAAAATCGTTTGCCATGGTGACACTTAAGGAGCAAGTTAAAAGAAGTATAGAGTTGAATGTCAAGGTAGGAGGCATAATAGGGATTGAAGAGGGAGATTGATTATGAATACAGTGGTCTTGAGTGCTATTAAAGGTATGAAGGCGGTTATCACTTTCCGGTCGCCCACATCGTAGAAGGGTTCTTCTGGAGGAACCTGAAAAGGAAATTTGGTTAGAGGTGGTCTTTGTGAAGTGAGAGCGTGACCGCGGTGCCCAAAGGACAACTGCTTGAGGTCGGTCACACACGACCTTTTTGTGAGTAATTTTCGTGTTAGCCTTGTACTTGTTAAGACCATACCTCCGGAGACGGAAATCCATGTGGTAAGGTGAGTTGTGCATCTTTGGGGTCGATCTTTTCTAAACCCACCCCTCTTTGTGGGAAGGCAGCATCGCTGTCATGCTGGTTGTCTGAAGGAAACACCTTACTGTCGTCACACCTCTGTACAATCAGCAGTACGACTTCGCCCTCAGACCTTGAGGTTTGCTGCTTTTAGTCTTAGCGTTCTTCAACCAACTTGTCTGGCATGGTAGGATCTTGAGGAAAGATCGTTCCAGCCAGTATAGCTCGATTGGTTCATTACGGTAGGCAAGCTCAACCACCATGTCACGGTAGCAGCAACGGTCGGAGGTCGAACGCCTTAAGCACTAAGTTAGTGAAAACTAACTACAAAGGTGTTATGTAGGTATCAATTATTTAGTCACCGTTACGCTAAAACAGAGATAAATGAACTAGATAGTGAAATTACCTACCATATATTCTATGGGATAAGGAAACTAACTCAAAGACATCAATGTTAGCTTGGATTGGGATTGTCATACAGTAGAAATAAGTCATCTAAACATACACTAATTTTATCAAAATATTTCAAAATATACGTCTTATTTCGAAGAAATTTAACACAGAAAGATAGATTTGTAGAATACCGGATAGATCTAATGATTACCACTTAGATTCATATAATTGGGTGGCGGATAACTATGATACAACAAAATAGTTAATGATGGGCAAAATAAGTTGGCTAATTATTTAACCATATAATACATTCTTAAAATACATTAGTTTTTCATCTAATAGTATTGATAGTAGCAACAACAGAAACTTACTCTACATTCCATTTAAAACGGTAAGGTGACAGCAAATACAAATCAAATGAACGCAACCAACAGCTGGTTTCATGGTAAAACTCGGTTTTCGCGTTAGATAGATCAAAACTTGATAACTGGTTAAACCACAACTTGATTAACCGCTCTTGAGTATTCTCTGGTGGCGGCCATAGAAATGGAGAGTGATGATTTGCTGTTGAGCATCTAAATGAATAATATTCAATGTAAGTGAATAGTTCAAAAGCTGATTGATTGATTAGTTGAATCCAAAACAATATTTGATTATTCAGGTTACCCTTTGTAGAGGGATTACTAATTCCTAAAAAGAAACGCAATAAGAGTACAAAGTAGAAAGAAAATATGTCCATCTCTTCTTGACTTCGATACAAATACAAAGTGTACAGAATTTTAAAATTATAGCTCTGAGTGAGCTATCACAGGAAAGGAAAACATTCGAATGTACGCTGGAAACAAATAAGATGGTTCAAACACTAGATCGTCAATAGTTGAGTAACAAGTCTGAAACCACTTACTTTATTCTAGTTTGTGGATATTTCAAACCACACAGTCGCATAATCAGACGTACTGATAGACATTAGTGTTAAGTTTTACGCTACTTCTGTCTATTTAGCTACCCAAATGTAAGGTTCAGTCAAAACTCACTAATGATCAAATGGCCAAACTTTGAGGTCCAGCTCATGTGCAACCAGAAAAAAGCCGAGATAAGGCATCGAATGACCAAATGCAAGAGAAAAATACTGTAAGGAAAATTACATTTTACCAAAAAAATATACTGTTTATACACTTTTTCAATTGCACCTTAGGTTTACATCAACTAGTTCAAAGATTTTGCACCCATCCAAATACAGTCAATACTGCTTACTAGTGAGACGTGAACCGAATCCAACTGAATAAAAAGGCCCTCTTCGCATCCAGAAATAACACTATCCAATCTCTTAAGTTGAATTCATCTGGACATACAATTGAAGAACGCGATGGCGGTTGAGTTATATAGCTATCATTGTCATGAGACTTGATGTGAATAGTTTCTCATTGTCAAAATCATATAAACGATTTATTTTGTAACAATGTCCAATAACTAAGTACATTTTCTGAGTGTTTTTTTTAGTGGAAATCCTGTTAAGACATATAGCTAACAGAGAAGGAAACAGAGTTACATGTAAAAAACAATTCAATTTTTAAAAGCTTTGTTAATTTGAAAATTCTTTTAATCGAAAACACACTTTAGATTCGGTATACATTGAATTTTAATAAAAACAATTTTCAAACTAATTAAATTTCTGTCTACCTGGCCTCTTGATTAGATAAAACATCCTGAAGTAACCTACTATTATATTATATCAGAATAATGTTGTATGATTAAAGGAAGTTCCCTAGGACGTTCTTCGTTTCTACATGATACTTGTTAACATCCATCGACATAACCTATAATATCTTCTACAAAGAATTGTGATCAACTGATAAAGACACCATATTCCTAGTTAGTCGATAATATATTTAAACCAGTTTCCAACTAACAAAGTTTGAACAGTTAGGAGTAGTAAATAAATAATATATTTATAACAATCTACCCAATGCTCAATTTATTCGGAATTATCAAATCAAACCTTGGTAATGATACCTACAGTTAGGAGTAGTAGTTTCAAAGCCAGGAAATAAACTTGATTTATGTGTTAATGAGGCTTTTCGATTTTGAAATATTTTAGATACAATAATTTTGATCGAAAAACTGAGTGATCTGACTCTGAATTTTTAGAGAAATGTAAGTTATCTCAGGGTTTTAAGTAAATCTAACTGATGAATGCTAACAAACACTAGTCCAACAGGATAGGTCAGTTTACTATTTAAAATTATTATACAGTTATAAATAACCTACTTCGGATAGAATTGAACGTATTATTTGTAGAATAATCATTGGAATTAGTTGTTGAAATTGAATGATCATAGTCGACAACAGTTGAATCAATATGATCATCAACGTTGTCAATATTATTATTATTGTTATTATCATCAGTAACACCAGAAATAATAGCATTTTTCAACTGACGTTTTAATTGTTTATTTCTACGTTTACGTTCTTGCTTAAATTGTTTTCTAGTTAAATTAACTGATTTTTGTCCATTGGTTGAGTTTAAAAGAAATGCAGCATTTCCAATTACATTATTTTTAATTTTTTGTGACTTTTGTTTATTACACTTTATGTACATAAGTAATGAAGAATCAGGAGATAATTGTAATGGGTAGATTGAATAAAATTTGGCCAAAAAACGCTCCAATGATGTGGATAAATCTGGTGAACTAAAAATAAAATTTTCGAATTAATAACACGAAAAAGAACCAATAATAATTCAAACAAAATAGTTCTTATCAAGCAAGAAGAAACAAGATTTTCAAATGAATATTCTAGAGAAGTATTGTTAGAAAGAAAATGTCATGTACACAAGCAAACATTAAGCATTCAAAGAAGATTTCGATTTAAAAAAAAGATGAATAGAATGAATGAAACAAGCTTTAAGCTAATGAGACTACAGGTTCATAAAGTTGCTGATTATTTTTATATCAACTGTAAATTTGAACTGAGTAGGATTGAAGTGATGCTTAGAGGAACAATGAATGAATAGGTGAAAATTATTCTCTGAATTTATGCCGTTTTTTTCTACCTCAGTGATTTTCTTCTCATTAACTTGATATTGAGACGGTGGGAGCTCTAAGTAAAGGCTTTTAAGTTGTATACTGCGTCGTTTAAAAAAAAATCACGACAACATATATATAATACTTAAAATTTGAAAAAAGAATTCAATCGGAGCGTGATTCTACGCTTGTTGATTTTCAATGATTTTTTAGTTGATATCAATCTATGACGAAAACTGTTTTCAAGATAATAATAATAATAAAGACAATGATTATTGTCTTATTGACGAAAATGCAAGAATGAACTTGGTAATCAAGATGAAGACAAAGTGATTGAAGAACTATCTAAACCTACACGTAAAATAAAGCCAGTACATCTCAAATTAATGGACAAAAAAAGAAACTTAATACAAATATGAAATAAATCATAAAAACCAAGCACGACAATGAATGAATGTGTAGGTAAAGTCGAATAAAATGATAAGTTTTCTAACTGAACGCTTGAGTAATTTCCCTAAACACTTCAAGTAACTCCAGGCTAAATCTACAGGGAAACACGAGAGAGAAGGTGCAGAGTGCAAAAAGAATGCTTTACTCGAAGTTAAGTTTAAGTATATTAAATCGATGGTATTTATGGTATTTTAAATGGCCTTGTGTTTCTGAAAGTTTCTGGAACCACAGAAAATATGATAGCAGGATAGGTAATTATCCAATCAGAAATATGACACATGACTTCACTTTCTACATGTTTCTGGGAAACTTATATTTAACGTTAACTGGAAAAATTGTTTCCCAGTGTTTACAGGGCCCCTCTGGGCTTTTTAGTGGAATAAATAGGATCTCTCCGACAAAAGAATGAAAATGAGTTTGTAGGTATCAATGCCAAGGTTTGGCTTGGTAGTTTCAAATAAATTGATTTCACTATAAATATATTTTTGCTATATTCAATGAGATTAGAATATTATATATATATATATATATATATATATATATATATATATATATATATATATATATATATATATATATATATATAATCAAAAGAATAAAAATACCCAGTTTGTTTTGTATAGACTGTATACTTCGAGGTCAGAGATCAATTGTGAGATATGTCATTCAGGGTTTCAATGAACTAATTATTACTCTCTTGTTGAACTGGGTTAGAAAACCGACATTAATCCGATAAAAATAACAAAGAGAAAAACCTTTGATCTTTAATTTCATGTTGATAATTCCGTACTAAGTTAAACATTAAGTGTTGAGTCAAAGGATTATACCTGTAATTTTTCTAATTTCATTAGATCAACATTTGATGTTCTGCCATAATAATTTTAACTTACACTATAACGTTCCACCACTTCAAAATCATCTATCGTATAAATAAACGTTTGAATAAAACATACATAGTAGTTCATTTGAGTGAAATTAATGAAAAGTAAGTTGAATTAGTGAATTAACAGTTCCGTAACACCAAAACATACATAAAAAAATCAGATAGCTATTAAATTTATTTCCTGTTAAATTTAATTTCTAATAAAAATTTTAATCGGACAATATTGCAAATCAGACAAAAAAAGTGATTATTTTTTAATGGCTGAGGCAAATAGTTTTAAAATGATGAAACTCAGTAACACACTAACACTCACATTTCATTTACATCCAATCTCCAACCGGAATAATCACGTTTCACACTAGAATGAGAAGTGAAAAAGCTAACTTCTTTTGTTTCGAAGACAACACGCAAAGCACGAAGAAGATAGTACAGGCTGCTTAATACTTCCTCATTCGGATTTTCATTTAGTTCTATTCAGGAAAAAAAGTTAAACAAAACATGGTGCACTTAAAAAATCACAAATTAGTACTTGTTTCTTAACAGTGTAACTTATTTAGTAAATCTAGTCTTGTGTTGTCGATTTCCAGTTACACTGCATGAGGGCTAGAAATACTACAAGGTTGGGGAAAAGTAAGAACGTGAAACACAGTTTAAACCAGCAGCATACTGGTTGAATTAACGAAAGACAAATTAAGTCAACCACCAGGTACTTGGGTATGAGTCACACTCTTGAAGTGATGGCTAAAGGTAATGGTCACCTGCTCAAACGAAAAATAAGAGCGGGGCTCGAACATGGTATTTAATGGCTAAAACTAGAATGCTTTGACTTTTTTCTAGGGAACATTTATAGTGAAGATGACCAACAAATAACAATGAAACAGATCTGAATATAGAAACATAATGATATACTAAAAACATTATATAGACATATAAAATGTTGTAGACAACTTATTTTCATCTTGTTTTTCCTATGGTCTATGATAATCTTCAAACCTACCTTCTATCTTGGACATAACAGAAGGTAAGACAAAAATCTTGATACACCGCCTAAAGGCATCTTTAGTGAGTGGGTACTGTCAGGAAATTTTTAGTTTTTATCTATACATGATTCAAGCTTCACTAAATATAAGTCGAAAAATTCATACTAACTAACCATCCAATAGAATCAAGCCTTCACCAATCAAGCCATGTATCATAACCTGGTCATCGTAGTCCTCTTGACACCAGGTTGGAGTATAAGCAATCGAAGAACTGTCGGAAATCTCTCTGCTTGTAAAATTCCTTTGATTTTTCTCACTCCGTTTATGCTGATAATTTTTATTATTCACGACAATGTTTTTAATTGAGGAAGAGAATATTAGAGACTGTTTGACAACACTGAATAAACCAGAATCAAAAGTACGCGATGTAGGATGGAAATCAATCAATTCCTTGAGATAATACCCTTTCAAAGGGATATACAGTTGAAGATATTCGTTTGAAAAATACGGTGAAGAGTACAACCAAGGATGATGACTTTGAGAATAACTCAGAGACATCGTATATTGATTATCTTTCAAATAAACCATGGTAGTTCGAACCAAATATGCACGATACTTCGATAAAGTTTTGAAAGTGCGCTGAAAAACGTCGAAAGATAAGTGGAGAAACCCATTGTAAAGTCTTATACAAGACGAACATATATGTTAGCCTTCCACCTCATCTTACTACTAACCTTTTGGTGGGAAATGATAAATATTTACTTGCTGTCCAGCAGGTTCTAAAAACCTTCGTATATTTTAAGCTACTTATGAGTAGTGTCAACATTACTACAAAAAACCAACAAGTCGATTGGATGTAAGGCGTGGTTTCATTCCAAAGCATCTCAGAAAAATGTGCAAACGTACCTCATACAAAAAGCAAATACCACTTCCTTCAACCGAAAACCTTTATATGGATCCAACCTCACTGTAGCTTCAACATGCAGAAAAGCAAAGCTAAAATTTGAAATCCTCTCTTCTATACAATCACTTTAAAATTCGTCATAAGGCACTTTTCCATGTTGTTCGAAGAATGATAGTTTATTACCATATTCAGCTGTAACATAAACTCACATGCGGCCAGAAGAACAAACGGTTGCAGAGAGGCAGGTAGATATCATAAACAAAGAGCCGGGTACAGTTATGAGTTGAATCAAGTTAACATAAGTGGTACGAGATGGGATGCAAGAGAAAACGAAATAATGTAAAAATGATAATAAAAGAAACTAAGGGGTGAGAGTATGGTCCGAAAAGGCTGTGGAAAGGTATATATTGGAGGAATACTGGAGTTCAAGATCGTGAATATCACTGTGAACAATTCCGAGCCATACCATCCAAAGTCTTCAACCACCGATTGAGATTACCAGAGATTTACCAGTAACAATAAAAAAGGCTAAGAAGACCACAGTCAATACTTTCAATTCTTGAGAATATTTTAGAGTATTTTTCCTAAACAGAATATGAAATAACCCAAGATAATTGATATTCCCCAACACTATACCAATACTCATAAATAAGTCCTACATTCGCTCAGTTAATAGCCTTTTTATATAGCAATATTAACTAACAGAGTTTTGTGCGACATCATATAACGAATGGTGGAAGTACATAATTACTGAAGTATTTCAAAAAGACCACCGTGCATGTAAGTTTCCTTTCTATATTTGAATATGGCTAGATTTATGTAACATTTTGTGTTTATGCTTTTCGATTTTCTGTTTGTATCTATACTTCACGATCTTAAGGTGAGAAGTTAATATAATCTCCTGTAACACAATGAAATGATATGAAATATTCTTATCATACATTATTTCATTCCATTTAGATATACCATTTGAATGTAAATTTATCTTTTTATTTATGTGATGAACGCACTCCATAAATAGAATTTTGTAACTGTCGTCCTGTGTTCTATACCAAAACTGGAGCTGGCTGTCGAAAGTGTGTAACGTAGGTAAGTGATTACTGCTCGATTGATATACTAGAATTTTACTTGTGGTATCTAAAATAATATATGCGAATAACCGGTCCAACATTTTTGAGAAATTTATTCAGCATTCACTTCTGTTTACTAATTCGTAGCCAATTCATATTGTTCTATATACTACGTGATTTATGATATGTAGTTACATTATTATCTCTCTCAACCTATGTTAACTATATTTATTCTGATCATTTATCTCACAATTTCATTTAACGTATAAGCTTATTTAAGTTAACACTTTATATTAGTCATCCCGACACTAAAGATTTCATTTTATTTTATATTACAGACGATCCTAACTTCACATGCTATAATTTAAATTGATGTACTCTGCCTTGAGCCTGGTCACTTTTGGATTAATTTGGATATATAATTGTAGAACCTGAAGAGAACTCATTGAAAAAAATTCTTCATTCGTATATATGTTTTAATACGGTAAGTTTTCAGCAACTAGAAGTGGAATTAAATGATTAGAATCGTAAGGGGTTTCCTTTTGTTAAACATGTAAAAAAGCAAAGATCTGAAATGCTTTTCAATTTCTCTACACAATTAATAAAAAAATATTTTAAAGGAACATACATTTTGTCTTAAATTATTATAGCATTGAATCATAAGATTAGAATAAGCTCGAAAACGTATTGATTGTTGAAGTGAATCGAAAACTCCTGAATAAACTGATTTTGTTCGGTTGGATGGTTGATACAATATGCTCATAGTCGTTGTTAACCTACAATGTAGACCAAATGTATAAGCAGAGAGGTGGCATCCGAGAAATTTCCAAACTAGTTCACTTCTGTGTAACAGATTAAGAACAACCTGATCCAATTCGAATATTATATCTGATATCTTTGGGTGAGTATATGCTATCTGAAACACATATATTGAAAAGTGGAGCAATATATGAAGGTTGATAAATAATAATAGAATGAAAAACGACTCATAAGAGTAAGTAGCATAACTCTTACCATTATGGAAGGAGTAAATTATAATATTTGCATGAGAAATTCGGTAATTTACTAAACGTAAACAATACTGGGAAACGTCATATGAAAGGTCAAATTAACAACTGCCTACCAACTAAAGTCAAATGTAAAAAACCACTGAACAAGTCCGAATACATCTTGTATTACCATGAAAGCCTTACTAAAAGTCAAATACATGTTAATTATTGGTACATAGTGTATTGTTTTTACAGTATTCCTTGTCCTGCAATGCAATTTTACATACAGTGTTTGAAAGACGTTAACATATTAAACAGTTAAGAATACAAACCGAAATTGTAACGAAAATTCTTGAACAGAATTGATTCCGTCTACGAAGGAGATAACTAACGCCAAAGGCTACAGAACAAAGAAACGAAAAAGTAATGGGATACCTGACTCAGTTCGTTCCGTTTGCAAATAATATTAAGAGGGGCGTACCACACCAAACTTTTATTTGGAAGTGATAACTTATCACGGAACCCAATTATGACTAATATCCCTTCATATTTCGATATATCAGTAAGTGATTTGGCTAAAAACTAGCAATTAGATGAGATGTATTTTTCTGTCGATAACATTTAAAATAACAACTTTCCATCCCAAAATAAAACACGCAAGAAATCCATTCCTATTGATGAACTCAAACCCAGTATTATGGCGGTACATAGTGACTCAGTGAAATGGAGCAACTTAAAATAATCACAGCTTAGACAATAGCGTTGCGAAGAAGTGAACATAGAAGAAAATGTAAATCTTGAGACCCATTTACGAATTATCATCATTATTTATATTTTTGTTGCATAACTAGTAAACAGTCGTATTACTGTATTTATACGTTCTCCTTATTGTAAGCTCTCAGTGAACTTTTCATACGATTTGTTGTTCCTTAATAATTGTTAATTAATTATATACTGTTTGCTCTGCTCCCCTGCGCTTATGGCATGATTGTATGTAAAGTATGAATTCATATTTGGGATGCGTTGCAGTTTGATCATTTATATAAACTAACGAGTATTTAGGATAGATATAATGGATGGTTGGAATATAGAACAGAAGTTTGACTCCTGTGTTCTGTTTTCGGAACGAGGACTAGGAATAAACGAACCAACAGAAGTATGCACTATTTGCCACACAAACTCAGGGTTATTCTTACCAATACAGGTGTACAATTGGTCGAAGCCTAGGACGCTAGCGATAGCCAAAATGGTATACAAAAGAGGCCCTCAAGTGCCCTGGTATGGCAGAGAGGGGTGGGCCCGCCCTCCTTCTTGAAATGCTCTTACACGGCCACGCGTATACAGCCTCTGCCAGGCAAGTCCTACTCATTGTCTTCTCGTGGCGGGGGTAATGTTTACGAAAATGAGAGCACGAAAAGCGAATGTCCGATGCTTTAACCGGATCCCAAACCAATGGTGCACATGGGCTTCAGTATCCTGCGGGAACAAATGGTGTATGAACCAATCGTTGGTCACCGGCTTGGAGATGTTATTTAAAGAGTATAATCCAGTGAAATAAATTTGGAAAGAGGAAAAAAGAGACATGAAGAATTCAGAAGATTAGAATTTGGGAGAACACAAAGAGTGGATGCACCTGCGCCAAATCGTTTGCAATGGCGCAGGTGCATCCACTCTTTGTGTTCTCCCAAATTCTAATCTTCTGAATTCTTCATGTCTCTTTTTTCCTCTTTCCAAATTTATTTCACTGGATTATACTCTTTAAATAACATCTCCAAACCCTAATCTTCCCGATTACTGCTTATACTCTTGCTACCTCTACCACTACGGGATTTGAATCGACAACTGCATCTCTGTGCTAAGGTGGTGTGGCAACTCGAACTGATGTACGTACGTACGAAGTTCTACGTTGTGACTGACTGACTGACTGACTGACTGGTCACCGGCTACCATGGGACTGCATCTCCTCACGATGCTCTACTGCCTTGTGGGTCAGACTTTAAGGTCGAAGGCTCGGGGTGTGGTCCCCTAAGAAAACCTCCTGCTTCGGTCCGGGCACCCGGGCAGTATCACAGCCCTCACACAAATCGAATGATTTATGTGGCACATATCTGTTTGGTGCCTCCTTGTACCAATATCTATGTGTTAAAATAATAACAATAATAATAATACAAAAGGCTAGAGAAATTCTAATCAGAATTCTAATCTGAGAATCGAACAAGTGATATCGACTAACATCTCAGATATGACAAGCAGATCAAACAAAACCATATTTTGGGATACAATTTTGTATCGGTTACCCAGAAATATCAATCACTAGGAAGGGTAACGAAAGGTTAGATCATAAGTTATTAGGACAAGCATAACGATTATGCTTAGAACTAATCAGTTAAACGAATAAGTTCAATCGCTTCGTGAATAATATTAGTGTATTCTGACTCGAATGTAAAGAAAGTTTCATGGGGTTTAGCTTAGTTACACAATGATTGTTGCTAAAAACAGTAGACTAATCAAATTTGAGCAAAATGAATATTCAAATAGCTGACCCATATATTTTTCACAAATCAAACATTATTATTAGATTACTGAAGTAAGCCAGCTAAAATATGGTCACAACAAAAAAACCAACCTAATATATTACAAGAAAAAAATATAAATGATGAATTGGTGAGCCAAAATCACATAATCCTTGTATAACCACGTAGAGTGAGTATACGAACATTATAAAAACTCATAAACTTACTTGTACAATCTTAACGAACAGCTGACAAATCTCATCGCAGAAGCGAGGGTCATCAACTCGTCTACAAAATCGCCCAAGTACGAATATTAAGTTTCCTATTTGAATATCACACCCTGTATTTACAGTAGAACCCAACAGTTTCTGATGTTCATCGACTACTTTTGATATAAAGTTGCTGGATAGAGATAAAACGTTTTTATCTAAAAATGGAATTGTAGTTATTCCTTTTGCCAGTGGATCCAAGAGACGATTGAGAGCCCGTAAAGCGGACTGGCGAAGAGCACTATCCTCAATGTTTAGTGAATGAATAGAACTTTCAAAGATTCGAACACTAGTTTCATCCCCTTGTATCTAGGTTATTCATCATATATAATTAATAACTGTGCACACCTTGCAAATTTCACGTTCTTTAGGAAGGATTATTCTCTTCTTCTGCAAATTGATTACTGTCTCGTTTCGGCATTTTAATTTCCGTCCAACTTTAACTCGAACCTTTTGAAAGTCTTTTTTACTTTTCACCATAACTTCAAGCAAAAGAATAGTTGAAGGTAATAACAGATACTTCAAGATGTAAGTTGAAACGATGGTTTTGAATTGGCTTTCAATTATTGCGCCGCTAGTCTGAGCAACTAGCTAGTGCAATTGGCTTTCAAATAAATGGAAAATAACAGCCATATATGCAAGAATGTGGTTGCTCAGTCTTAATGACCCACAAATTACCCAAAGAAATGAAACAAAATAGACGTATGATAAAGAACGTACTCAAGCGACTTTTGGATAAATCTATTCAACATAACTTCGACCAAGACTCAGTACTTGCCATTTATATGTCGATTGTTTAGTTCTTAAGGGAAAACAAACATTTACTTCCTAAACGCAACTATTTATAGAAAAGCCATGGCAGCCAGACAAAGGAGAAAGGTATTCGGTTTCGACAGCTAGAATTCACAGTCAATAATAATAAAGACTAGGAATTACTGGTATAAATTAGGGACTGATACGTAAATTAAATGTCTCCACACTGATGTCTATCGCTTACCTACCTCAGTTACATGAAGTTAGGATTCTTTTTTAGTGACTACAAAAAAACAGCTGAACTAACGCATTACACATTCCATAAGATAGTGAGAACTGCCAAACAATTTGTTGGATACCCTTTTATGTCTGGACTTCTAATATTAGTCCTGCTAATCGAAAAGTTTGATAAGGCTCACGACTGAACAAACAACTAGAGCAATTTTGTCGGTGTCTGATATGCCGTAAACATTAATCATAATAAACAAGTTACTTCACGGTTACTTCTCACAGAAATCTACCTCAGAGATAAGTAAGACAATCTAATGCATAACTTGTCGTTGTCAAAACACGTATTTTCTAGTGACCGGAAAAATGCTGGTATTGATGTAGAGTTGTTTCGTTTTTTTAATCTTATGCATTTAGTGTTGTTATCTAGAGCATATCTAGGTGGATACTTAAAAAACAATCGCTGATTTACAACAATAACTGCTGGCCGTAATTCGAACCTACCAAGTGATTGAAATTTCCCAAAATCACTCTGAAAATTTTTTACGACCGTTCACTAGATTTTCTCACTGAGACAGGCCTTTTAATACGAACCGACACTAAATACATACACTAGTCCTAAGTCCGTTTATAGTAAGCCAACCATTTATCATTACTTTCTGATGACCGACTTGAATGTATTGAAACCTCACCAAACTTTCAGCTAAAATATAATCTATCATTTCCGAAAACCTGCATGTATATACTTCACTGAACAATATTTAACCCTCAACTTCGACAGTGACAATTTTTCAAACTTTACTATACTCATTTCGCAATCAGCAATCCGTAAATCCCCTAGGCCAAACAACACCAATATCACCTGCCAAACACCACAGTACCGATAGCTATTGAAAATTTGCTCTAGTTCAATGGTTCAAATGGTTGTGGGCAGAATAGAAGAAGCTTTCGCTTAACAGGCTTCCGTGTCTAGTAGCAGGGGATCCCCAATACCTCCAGGAGGGAACCTAGGTATATTAAATATAATAGATTAGAAAAAAATTGGTAACTCATATTAAAATGTTATCTTGAGTCCTTAAGAATAGGTCAAGCTTCCTCATAAAGGACTCCCGGAAAATTGCTTGGACTAGTTCAGTCGGCAACGAATTCCAGCATTTGACAGCTCTTAAGTATTAGGATTTGTGTCTACAGTCTGTTCTGCTATGTTGTATCTCCAGTTACTTGGTGTTACCCTATAGGTTTGTATTGGGACTAAGCTTATGTAGGTGTTTAAGGGGATTTCCAGAAGTGTTAAGGATACTGTAAGACATCAGGAGGTTACTTCTAAGACGCATATACTCTAACAGGTAAGGGTTAAGTGATTGGAGGCGCTCTTCATAATGTTTGAATTTGAGTCCCCGAACTGAGTTCGTGTCTCGTCGTTGGATACGCTCCAGAGTGTCCTTATCCGTTTGGAGTGAGGAAGGAAATGTTATGTTTCCGTACTCTAAATGGGGACGAATAAGGCTGTTGAAGATTATGTGGAAAGTTCTTCCATCAAACTGGCCAAAAATGCGCTTCAGTGTTACCAGTGCAAGGCTTGCTCGAAAGGCATTTTTGTCACAGTTAGCGTAAGACTTCAAATTGTAGAGCACCAGGACTCTTAAATCTTTTTCGACTTGGGATACTACTAGAAAGGAGTTTCTTAAGTTGTAACTGTAGTCTGCGACATGTCACAGATGGACTATTTTACACTTTGAAGTGTTAAAGGTAAGTCCATTATCGTCTGCCCAACTTTGAAGTCGAGTCAGATCCTCCGGAAGTGCCTGTACATCGTTTTGGTTGCGTATTTCTCTCCAAAGTATCACGTCATCAGCAAAAAGTAATAAGTCTGACGACACCTGTTGTGAAAGACCATTTATATAAATCAAGAAGAGAAGAGGTCTTAGTACTGAGCACTAGAGGACCCCACTAGGACATTCCATAGCCTCAGATAAAGTGAAGTTAATCCTAACCTTAAAATGTCGATTTTTCAGCCAATCAATTAGAGGTGGTCTGATACCCAATCGTTTGAGCTTATTGATAAGACATTTATATATCAAAAGCTCTTGAGAAATCAAGGTAAATGATTTCAACCTTCCCTTTCCGATCAAGGATGCTTATCCATCTGTCCACCGCAGTCAGTAGGTTGGTTATACAAGAGTAATCCTCCCTGAAACCATGCTGTTGGGGTGAGAAGAAACTTAAGGACAGTAGATAGTCGTTTAAACCGTCGCATATCAGGGACTCTATGAGTTTTGAAGGTAATGACAGAAGAGCCACCGGCCGATAACTTGAAGGTTCATTGCGTCGATGTCCTTTGAAAATTGGTGTGATGTGAGCCAACTTCCAATTTCCCGGTAATTTTCTTCGGCTTAGCGAGTGTGAGAACATCACGCTCAGCAGTGTTGCCAGGATCGAGACTGCTTTCCTCAGTCAGTCAGTCAATCAGCTACAACGTAGGATCAGGCACATATAGGCATCGGTCCAAGTTACCATACTTCATTAACATAATAAGATGGACACCGGATTCATAAAAGTAGTTAATTCAGAGGTGGTAATATATAAAAGAAAGATTGCAATAAGGATATAGTACAGGAAGAAAGAATTAGTTCGTAGAAAGAAAGATATGAAGCCAGTTTAATCTCTTAGTTTAAGGGAAGACACAGTGTATACACCGACGCCATTGTGATCGATTCTGAGCCATGTCACCAAGAGTCTCCAACCATCGGTTACGAAAGTCACGCGGCCTCCAACCAAGTAGTCTGCATCTACCAACATGGCTCAGACTAGAAGTTAGTGTCTTCAAGCACTGATGCCACGTTTTGGTTTGGCCGCTCCTAACTTTCTTCCAACCATTTCCAATACCGGATAGCATTGCACGTCGTGGTAATCGGTGTTCAGGCATACGTAACACGTGGCCCAACCATCTCAGTCGATGAAGATTCATAACCTCATCAACTGATTTACCATCATTCCCTAATACCCTGCGTCTAACCTCACTATTACTTACCCGGTGATTCCAGCAGATGCCAGCAATATTTCTAAGGCATCTGTGGTCAAATACTAATAGCTTACGAGTGTCTTCTACTCTTAAAGGCCATGTTTCGCTGCCGTAAAGTAGAACAGAACGGACTGCCGCGCAGTATACTCGTCCTTTTATTGATAGATGGATATCTCGCCTTCGCCACAGGTGACGTAAGTTGGCAAAAGCCAAACGAGCTTTTCGAATCCGTGCTGAGATTTCGTCAAACACCAACCCATTAGGGCTGATCAGACTTCCAATATAAGCGAAGTTGTCAACGCGTTCGACTGCTTCCCTAAGTATAGCAGAATGAATCATATCTGGACTAGGAGAAGTGTCTTCTCTTAGGTGCTGCAGTTTCCGGAACACTGAGTCAGCGCTCAGGTTCAATACGGAAAGACCTGTGCAGTTTCAGATGACGCTGTCATCGGTATAGCTGATGTGGGTTAGTTGAAATGTCCGATAGTATTGTTCAGTCAAAAGATTAGCGGCATCGCCGTCGTTACTGGTCGGGCCATTAGGACCTAGCAGTTGGAAAACTCCAGTCTTGGCTTGACGAAGAGAAGCCGCATAACAAACTAAGCATTACGTGTTGGAGACAAATTTATCCATAAGGTTTGTCTGGTGTTGAAGCTTGTCTTCTCTTATAGCCTTCATGCATATGTTCCTCATATGTTTGTAATGCCTGTACGCTCCGTTGTTGTCAGTTCGTTTGTATTCTGACCAACAGTGCCTTTTGCGGCTTATCAAGCGGAGAGTGCGGTTGTTTATGATTGTAGGTTGCTTGTAGCTTTTGGGGACCGTTAGAGGAACTGACTCCTTTGTAGCACATATGAGAGTGTGCAGTAAGAAGTGCCCATGAGCATCCACTTCATGTTGAGGTTGAACATCCCAATCCGCCTGTTGTAGATAGTCCTGTAAAGCTGACACATTCAACCGTTTGAAATTCCAGCGCCTGTTGTTGGTGGGATATTTTCGCTCAGTTTTGCTGACAAAACTGAAGGCTATAACGGCGTGATCGCTTTTCCCCAGGGGAGCCAGGGTTGAAAGGCTGTCAACTAGAAATTCAATAACACTTACGAACATTGGTCCAAAGATAGGCGGTAAAATTGGCGTTTGTCCTTTTTTTGGTATAATTAAGTGCTCGAAACTTTCTGAATACGCTTACTCAAGACATAGACGCTATTTTTTAGCAGTAACTTGAATAGTTTTATTCCTGTAAATCACAGGGATAAGGTTTGTTCACAACTTCAAAACAACTGTTCTGTCATCTGAGTTATGATTGGTAGTATTAGCAACCCCGATGACTGTTGTCCGTATAGAAGGAGATCGAGGTTGCATTGACACCGAGGTTGCGGCAAATTCACAAGTACGGGGGAGTTTCTGTGACATCATATCATGATGTAACACGCCACGTTTCTTGCACTTATTCTGCCCACTATGTCAATTTGCAATGCTTTGCAATTTAAGCCAATATCATAAAACAGGGATACGACTAGCATACCCTGTTTCTAGCAATGAAACGTTGTTAAAGGAGAAACAAGAAAAGTAAAGCAGATGATCAAGAATTTAAAAACATAATAAGTCCAGAATATGTATACATTTATGATCTTGTCTAGACATAAACGATTGTTGTCGGTCAGTGCTGAAAATATATGTTTATTATAAGTTAGAAAAATACAAGTGGAAATGTTTGGTTAACATTAAAAATGAGCCAGATGCAACTAGAGTGGCTATTTATGTATTACTATACTGGTAATGCTGTAAATGGTGGTGTGGTATCTACTGTATGCTAACATGTGTACACACATGGTAGTAAGGACATTTTACTTGTATAGATGATTTGTGACGTCCATATTATTCCTCGATCACACAGTTTCCCACCCATCTACTCTTGTTCATCCTGTTTAGTATGTAATAAAAAATGAACAGTTCTGTAAGTTTTTGACGTTGATCCTGAACTCATTAACTTTACTAGAAGCATCCCAAAATTTTCACCAGATCATGAGTAGCTAGGTCGTGCTACTCACCCCTACCAACGATTAGTCAGCGTAAATTATATATTTTTTGACACATCAGTTACCTTTCAAATATTATCTTTGAACCATCACTTCTGGTTTGAATGACTTTGATTTATCTGATTATAAAGGCGTTAAGGGCAAAAGAGTCGTCAAATCCTAAATATCTTCCACATATTTAAATGTTTGGTGCTGGACAGGATTATTGTTGATACTTACCGACGATTACATTCCCTTTACTGTATTGCTTCCATTTTGTTATTACCTGCTTGATATCGACTGTTTGACTTGCCTTTTGATCATGAAGACTGCCATATTGGTTATGTATTCTTTGTTTGTGCTTGCTTCAGCTGGTTGGTTTGAATTATTCCTTTTCCGAAGTACAGTACACTTTCCGCTTATTAGAAATGCCTATATTCATAACATCCATAACGTTTTATTGTTACCGTATAGGTTTAATCATAATTCTTTGAGTGTGTCAAAACTATTTACTCAATATCGTAGTTCACCGTCCTTTGCTTGGTTGAAATACAGTTAATTGGTGACAAGTGACTAGTATCATAGTTCCCAATATTTTCATAATTGTTTCTATGTTTATGTTGTGCCCATTTTCGGAAATATTACATAACTGTAAAAATCGCTTCTTGAACCTGTTTAGGAGTATTGCGTAATTTTCATCTTAATACTTATTTTGCATAGAACCGGCATCACGCTTTTTATTGAATACTGTATTTTGGCCCATCGGTTGGTGTGCATTACATGTAGTGGCATTGGACCACAACCACACAATCGTCAAAGCTAAAGACGAGACTACTCGGAAAATAGACATTCAGTATTTAACGCGGAGAAATACCTGACAATGGAGATGGCGAGAACAAGGAGTTGAATTAATTGGAGTTGATCGAATGGCATGGCCCAGCCTTGCAGGCGTGGTCCTTTTTGAGTGTTGTCTTATATCTTTTATTCATATTAAATATATTGTTTTATCTCTAGCCCAAGCTTGTCCTACATCATGTATTGGTGATTGTTACGATGAGTTGATTTAGACGATGGTATAATTTCTACGTAAGGTTATATAGATTAGGCAGTTATACCATGACAAGTCTACAATTCTAGGATTAGGTCTATCATTAGCGCAGTACTTATATCATAGTAGACCATAATTCTACATGTATACTGCATAATTAAGCCGTGAAGAGTACAGTTCACAAACTTTAATAAAAATGGTGGTGTGGTCTGTATGTGGTTTTACTTTACATTTCTGATTTGGAATATATGACCCATAAATATTGATATTTAACGACTAATCTCTGCAATTACTTAAGAATTTCGTAGCATCATTCTAAACTAACATTTCGCAAGCTCTTGTTTACGGTCAAGCCTTACTGCATGGACGATGTTTTCTTATTTGTTTATTTTTTTATTATTGGTTGTCTAAATAGAAAAGTTAATCGAGCATAAAATTGGAAACATGAGTCTGGGTGGTGAGCGTAGGAAGAC